CCCCCCGCACAGAACCACCCACCCATCATCCAGTGATTTAACGTCAACCACTTTACCTGGAGCCTGCACAATCCACACTCATCTTCTGGGTCTTTTCCCTCGCCTCCATGTTGGCATCGTCGTCGTCGTCATCATCGTCGTCATACTCCGAGGCGGACTCGATGATGGGCTGCTTCCTCTTGGCCAGCCGTGGGTCCCCGCTGCTGTTGTCCCCGACATGTCCCTCTCCGACGTTTGACCACATCACGTACAGCACGCCTGGTGCAGGGAGGGGAAACATGGAGGGTTTTTTGTTGTTGCTTTGTTTGCGTGTGTTTGTGTGTGTTTGTGTTTGTGTGTGTGTGTGTGTGTGTGTGTGTGTGTGTTTGTTTGTTTTGTCTGTTTGCTTGTTTGTTGGCAGGTTGGTTGGTTGATTGGTTAGCTAGTTGGTTGATTTGTTGGTTCTTGGTTGGTTGGTCGGTTTGTTGGGTGGTTAGTTGGTTGGTTGGTTGGTTGTTAGCTGGTTGGTTGGTTGGTTGGATGGTTGGTTTCTTGTTATTGTTTTCTTTGGGGTGGAGGGAGGGGGGCGAGTGTGTTTGGTTGTTTATTGAAAGGGTACAGTTTTGAAATCCCTCATCCATTTTTTAGAGGATGACGTCGTTAAATTCAGAGGTCCTGCCTTTTAAATAACCTCACAGGGTTGAAAGGAGATTTAACCCGTACTATACCCCAAAGAGGTTATATTATAGGATACGAGAGCTCGCAGCAGGGACGTCACACGTGTCAGACTATGGGGACTTTCTTACCCTCATCTACATGGCCGGCGCGCCCCCTTTTACATGAACAATCTGAGCCCCCACTCCGCTTCCCACGAGTTCTAGTATATTAAACACCTAGTGTATTATAACACCTCTAATCTTCGGCACTGACATGAACAATTTGTATTGCAAGTGTCGTAAAACTCTTATTAAAACTCATCTAAAAACTGGAGAAGCGAAGTATATAAAAGTATTAAAAGACGTCATCTCACAAGCACAGACGAGGCTGTACTCGATGGTGCACGGATACAGGTAGACAGAGGCTTTCTCCACTACTTTGCCCATCATGGCGTCCCAGTGACAGTTGAGCTCTGGCAGGGAGCCCAGGTGGTGATCTGAAACGGTACAGAGTAATCCATATAAATGAATAAATAAATCTTTTTTATTGATCTCAGAAGGGCAGTTTGGTTTACAATTGCAAACATACACTCATAGATACAAAAATATTTAATTATAAATACATACATACCAAAATGCTTACACATATTATTACATAATACACAATTACACCAATACAGAACAAGGGCCTATTAGTTACGCGTTGAGGCCGACTGGACAGGTTTCTAGCCGTGCGGCCAATCGTAAAGTGTAATAAGAAATGTTGCTGAAACCGTAGGCGAACACCGGCCAGCCAGATGTAAAGGACTCACAGCCGCTGGCTGTGAATTTGACGTCCGGACATCCGACCTTGGAAGTTTGCTGCACCGGGGACAACTGAACGAATTTAAAAATTATAGAAAATCAAAAGAAATTTCTCCCTGCGAGATGAATAAAGATTGTCATTGTCATTGTTATTGTCAAAAAAGTAGATTTGTACGTGTTTAGAAAAGAGGTGCATTCTGATGACCGTGAATGAAAACCCAGTAGACCACAAACAAAAAGTTCGATATTCCTTTTGAACGTTATTCTTCGATACAACTTCATTTTAATATTAACTGTACTTACACGTGTTAAGAAAATTTCTTTTCTGAGATATTCAGAATTGAAGGAAAAACACTGGAAAGAAAACCAGACATCCCACAACATCGCAAAAAGGGCAAAGGGGGAGGGGGGGGGGGACCTGCCAAGTGAAAGTTGTTGATACGGGTCAAGACTCCTTGCGTCGCACCCAACAAAGTGTATGGCATTACTTCGCCACCCCACAAAATTCTGATATGAAATAACGTTCTCCTTTTTATGCATCTTATTTTTCTCCGAGATCTTTTCGACTGCATGGGCTTTGTGTATTTTCTGTTCGTATCGCACTATAACCTCAGCCCCTTGTTAGTCCTACTTGTGGGTGGCTGGCGTGTGCTCTGGTGTGGCTTGCTTCTTCTTTCCTATCAAACATTTTATCGTCTTTATCTCCCCTCCTTCTTTTTTGCGCTTGTTACTCTCTTGTAACATCTCTAATCTTCGGCACTTAAATGACCTTATTGTGTTGCAAATGCCGTAAAACTCTTAATTAACCTAAATCTTGTTTCCCAAGGCTCTTGGTCCGATCACTAGTCCGTCAGATCCACGTTCTTTTCTCGTATGTGCGACTCCCAGTCCATAGTCCCCACCATATACCCCCACCCCCACCCCCTGACCTTTTCCCTGCACATTTATTATGTAAATTATGGACCTGACTTAAACATTGTCATCATAAAAAATACGTTAAATAGATTGTTTTGAGCAACATATTCTAACGCATATTATGTTTATACCTGAGAATCTCAAAGTTGCTATGGAAACATCTAAATCTAATTTCCACTGACTTATTTTATTTTTTCATGTTGACATATTGTATTTAACCAAAGTGGTTTTATTTAACAACAGAAGAGAGGCACCACACTTTGCTTACTTCCCCTTGTAACACGTTTTTGGGAAGTAAAAACAAAAGAGGCTGAGGGTGTGACGGGTGGGGCAGATACAAAACACAAAGTCATCGATCAGCTCAAGGTCTTGTAAACGTATTCACGTCAAACAAAACATGACGCATCATAGTAGTAGTAGTAGTAGTAGTAGTAGTAGTAGTAGTAGTAGTAGTAGTAGTAGTAGTAGTAGTAGCAGCAGCAGCACCAGCAGTAGTAGTAGTAGTAGTAGTAGTAGTAGTAGTAGTAGTAGTAGTAGTAGTAG